GAGTTCTTCTCCTCCCAGCCAAAATATTAAGCTTCACTCGTAACTGGCTAAGGATGCCAAGAAGTTGATCCATTTCTGACGTCACTAAAAACCAAGTGAACTGAAAATAATGCAAAAAAAAAAAAAAACCAGGAAAAATAAGAATCAAATGTTTCGAGTACAGAGTTTCAAACAATTTTGTGCCCAAGTGTTTTTTTTTACTAAATAAATGGGAGATTTTTAAAGAGTTACCCAATTAGTTTTTTAAAAAAACTTCATTTTGGTTGTAAAGAGAAATAAACCATATGAGAACTCCTCTGGCTCTGCGCCTTCCCAGGGCTCCTACAGAACTCCTCACCACACAGCACTTTCTATCTTTAGCTACTTGTGTTCAAGTCTTACTTCAAAGATTAAATCACTAAGTTATCTGATTGCAAAATCTGTGTCTAATTTATGTCAGGATTCACAGCATATAACAAGAGTGTCTTCTACTAATAGGCATCTAGTAACTAGATTTTAAACAATGTAAACATTGGCAGAAGATGACAAATGCCTTAATCATTCAGCATAAACTTACTAAGTTCCTGCTACATAAAGGTCAATATACTAGTTGCAATGGGCATACACAAATAATTTCAAATTGCAACCACTTTCACTGTGACAATGGTCAGAAGGATGTGTTCCCACACAAGGCAATTTTGTGAAGGGACCTCCAATGACAGTGTGTTTGCTACAAAGGTTCTAGAGCCAGAGGTCCTTTCCAACAGAAGTGATACCAGGATGGGAGAAGGGATGCCATCCTCACTGAGTCCCACAAGACAGCTGGGATTTTCATAATGGAAAGCAGGCCAAAAGGACTTTCCACGACGTGAAAAGAGTCAAAGATGAAAGAACCACTGGTAAAAGAACTCACCTGGAAGACAAACAGGACAGTTTTAAGAAGCAGAGATGGGCAAGGCAGGAGGAGGCTGGGGTAGAGCACATGCTCTTAACTGTGGAGCATTAGAGTAAGAACTTAATTCATTAGGCACTTGGGAGTCACTGACAGTTTGTTGGAAGGCAGTGAGAGACATTTTAAGGAAGTGTTCAACTGCCTGTGTTTAAAGTTAATAGTATTTTTAAAATACGAGGAAATGTGGAGAGATTGAAAGTTGGTAAGATAAAATAAGGATATGAATTAAAAGCATAATGTCTGAAACAAAGTAAACAATCAAAGATAGTTATTAGTTTTTATTATCCTCATCATCATGGAAATGGCCTTGATAATGAAAAGGAAAGGCTCTGGGATGGAAAGGAAATCGTTGACAGAACTTAGGGACTGCTTGGAGATGAAAAACCGAAATCAAAGATATTTCAAGTCTAAATGACTATGGTAATAATGGAAAACAATTTACAGGAATTTGAAGGTCATGGAGAGATACTCACTTTGGCAATAACATAATAAACTCAATTTTAGATGGACTGAGCTGGATCTCACAGAAGGAATGTACAAACAGTTGACTACCAAGCCAAAAAAGAATGTAGCAACTAAGAAAAAAACTCTGAAAGTGTGAATGAGAAGACCTGAATATTTTTTTTTCTTTTTGGGTCACACCTGGTGATGCTCAGGGGTTACTCCTGGCTCTGCACTCAGAAATGACTCCTGGTGGTGTTCAGGGGACCATATGGGATGCTGGGAATTGAACCTGGGTTGGCTGTGTGCAAGGCAAACGCCCTACCCTCTGTGCTATCACTCCAGACCCTGAATATTCTTAATACAGGTGCAGATATTAAAAATGATTGAGGCAGAGACAGAACTAGGCCTGGGCATCCGCAAGCATGAAAACACAACTAGAACAGAGAAAACAAATAATACGAGCATCAAATGGCATCAAAATGAACCACTGAAAGAAATGAAATGGGTCAATACTAGCTAACAAAGATAAAACTTTTTAGTGTGATTTACCTCCTAAATATTCAATGGTTTGGGAGGAAGGAGGAGGTAGGTAGTAGAGGTAACCCGAAGCCAATTATTGGAATGGCAGATAGACTATCAGATAGATGGGGCAACAGAACATGAGATGAAACAGAACATGCTGGAAGGACAACCAGGCAGTTCAGACAAGGTAGCTTTCAAGCAAAATTGCTACACAGAAGAGAAAGCAAAAGGACCAGATAACTCAAGGAGAACAAATGTAGAACAGCAAGGAGATGCTTAACAGCCAGAGGACTTCCTTCCTGTGATTATGGTTAAAAAATCTCCTATTTCGAGAGATGCCCGCAGACCCCGAGTCAGCCTGAATATCAGATCCAGGGCATCCTGGAGGAGGTGGGGAGGGGGTCGTGAGTCCCTCCACCTGCTTTAGCAGAGACCTGGCAGCCAAAACCCTCCAGAACCGCAGCCATGCTCATGGTCTGCCCCACAGGTTCAAGCGAGCCTATTGTATGAATACATCTGTTGATTAACTCGGGTACATGGGTTTTGTGACCAAAATCTCCAGACTTCCATGGAGTTGGGGATGGGATGGGTGACCTCCCCTCATTCCCCTTTTCTCCCGGGAGCCTGTCTCCAGAGTGCACCAAATAAGCTCATTAATCGGCCATGATTTAGAGACTCATAAATAAATCTCAAAAGAGATCAACGAGCTGCAGAGATGCTTCCGGAGTCCAAAGTCATCATCCAGTTAATAATAATTCAACTCCTGTTTTATCACCCCATCAGAATTTTATAATTCCTGGAGTGGCTGCACAATATCTCATACTCCACATCCCTGACATACCAGGAGCAGCACACCACATTGGATGGGATGTAAAGCAGAAGGCAACCACAAGGCTTAACCTGTAAACAACAAGTTAGTAATCTTTTATACAAGAGCTTCATGGCTCCTGGTTGAGATATGACAATCTTCACACTTTCTTTTAAGGATATCTGTTTTGATCAGTTTTAGTGAATAACAAGTAATACAGATAAGTAATACAAACAAGTAACAAGTAATACAAAATAAATCATTTAGGGCCTGCTATTGGGGAAGTCTTGGGTGATGGTTGGAAAAATAGCGAACAATGGTGGTGGGAAGGTGTAATGGGGTTAGTAGTGGAATACTGAATGTGCTAAAGCAATGTGACATCTTATTATCTAGCTCTTACTCTGGAGAACCTGGCAGGCTACTGAATGTATCCTGCCCACACGGCAGAGTCTGGCAAACTCCCCGTGGCATATTCAATATGCCAAAAACCAGTAACAATGATGGGTCTCATTCTCCTGACCCTGAAAGAGCCTCCAATGTGGCACTTTCTAAATCTCAGGGCTAGGAAAAAGGAGACGTTACTGGTGCCTGCTCGAGGACATCGGTGAACAACAGGATGACAGTGATACAGTGATACAGTGAAATCAATGTGAACAATTAAAAAAGAGAGAGAACCTATTATTTCAATAAACATTTACCAATATCGTTCTGTAAGCCAGGCACTGGACTAGATGCTGAGGATAAAAAGCACAGTCCCTGCTCTTGCAGAATGAATAAATTAGTGCAGAGACTGGCAAACAATCTGAAAGAGGGCAGATTACCAATGTTTTAGGCTGTGTGGGTTGTAAATTCTCCAATGCCACTCCTTAAGTATGACACTGTACTGCAAACGTAAGTTGAAGAAAATATGGAAGTAAATAAGCATGACTATGTTCAATGAAGCACATTTTATTAATTCCTACAATTTTCCTAGGTCACAGAGGTATTCTTCCCTTGACATTTTTCCTTAGTGGTAAAATATATTAAATAATATTCCTAGCCTGCCAGTCAAATAAAAACAGATGGCGGGGTAGAGGCCTATGGATGCCAATTTTTTTATCTACTGGGTGAGTCTGCAAAGTAAAGGGAAAAGGAGCAAACGTACACAATGCCTACACTCACCACCCATATATGTTCTCAGCACATGGCAGATAGACTATCAGATAGATGGGGCAACATCTATCGGGCCTACTCTTTGTTCACTCAGTGTTCAATCATGACAGGAAGACAACATTTAGAACGGATTGCTTATACCTAACATGCTAAAAACTGCTACTTTCTCTAAACCTTTAGAACAATTTCAAATTTTACCCAAAAAATACTTAAACCCAACCTTTACTCTGCTTTTATTTTCTTAATTTTATATCTTTACAACAAAAGACAAAAAATTCTTTTCCACATATATCATTTTTAAATTATGTTTTATGACATATCAATAATAAAGTGATTACTAGTTCCATAGATACCCCCTGAAAAGTGAAATAAAATGACATCTTTCTCAAATAACTTTATGGCTTTTTGTTATATTCCTTATTTGACCACTTTGAAGCTTTTTTTTTTAATTAAAAGTTGAAAATAAAATCTGTCTAAAATCTACTGCTCTAGAACAATATGATAATCCAGAGTAGAAGAAAACTTCTCAGGAGTGAAGAAACACAAATTGCTGAAGGTGAGTGATAGGCATATAAAAGTTGTTTGGAGGCAGATTGCAATTTTTCTGACAATTTCTGAGGCACTATGAAGAAGCTAGAGATCTATTTTATTGTTTTAAAGTCAGTTTTAGTTGTTTCAGCCCATTTTATCTTGCAAGAGAATTTGAATTCTGTAACAAAATGCAATTAATTAGTACAAAACAGCTTGCTGTGAGAACAAAAGTATTTCAACTATTTAACACTGGCTTCAAAAGCCAAAAATTTTAAAGGAAAAATGAGTCATTCATTCCCCTTTCATTCATTTAATATCACAGATCATGTGGAACATATTGCTTCATAATATTTTTATCATTTTAAAGTTCAGGTCAGTGTGGCCTTTCCTTTACTCAATATTTTGAGGATTATCATAATTAAATAGACGTGACCTTTGGTTATTGAAAGTAAAAGGAAAGAGTAAAGAAATACTATTCACATCATTTTAGTGGTTCTTACTCAGTCTTTCATATAAAGAGAAACACAGACCCTTGATATCAATTAGGACCTTTCACTCTGCATTACGTAACATGATGTGGAAAAATAATGTTATGAATGAACAGCAGCCAACCTGTGCTTTTCTCATGTACACCAAAGGTTCCTTGAGATGTTCAGGAGGCGCAGCAGGATGACTAGGTAAAGGAAACCTAGAGACAAAGAGAGGCAACTAAATTATGCTTCATAATAAATTAACACACCTATGTTTAGAAATTACCTTTGGAGTTCACGTAAAAATTAAATAAAACAGTTCGATGCATCTACATATAGTAAAGGAAACTATGAAAGTTTGATAACATATATTATTTTCATTCCTCCCAATTTTATTTATCCCAATCAGAAATGAAAATTATTTTCATTTCTGATTATATTTTACGAAGATGAAACTGCAATATAAATGCTGCCTTTTGGTGTAAATTTATACTGCCCCAATTTATGTAGCATTATTAAACCAATGACAAAACTTTATTTTCAAAAGGACAGAAGCACCATCTTTTGTAATATTCATGCAATACGAGATAATACATGATAAGACATTATTCTTGTTCTGTAACACTTTTGATCCAGGTGAGAGATGCATCTCATCAAACACGAGATGAGATGCATTCAAATGTGTCAACCTTGGATCAAACTGCAGGAAAGAAGTTTTGCTGTGGCACTGTTCTTGACCACCAACATAATAATCAGATATCTTCTCAGTAAGATAGTGATTTTAAAAAACTTATATCAAAAGTCCATCATTTTAAAAAATTCTACATCATATATGGTTGTTAGGAAGACTACATCTCATACAGAATGCATGTAATACACCTAGTATGGCACTTTCCTACATACTGAATGGAATACTAAGTGTCAAAAAGGTGGAATTTTGCCTTTGTGACATGATTGGTACCTGATTCTGCTAAGTTAAAAACAATTAGTGCAAAGTTTCTCTTATGCAGACTATTAAAGAAAATGAACCGAAAAACCAATTTTTAAAAATCTTCCATGTGAAGAGTTCTATTACTTCAACATTCTTAGACTCTCTTGAGGTCTTTATTCAACCACAGAAGAATTATTCAGAAAGTCACTCTCAAATTTTGGAAGAATAATCTAAGCATTCTCAAAAGGGTTATTTAACTGGGTTGTCTTTTTAAAAAGTTCTACTAAAGCACCATTATTTACAAAGCTATTGATAGTTGAGTTTCAGGCATCAGTCCCACCACCTGTGTCAACTTCCTTCCTTCAGTGTTCCACGGTTTCTTCCCAGTCTGACACCTTGACAGGCACATTTTCTAGTTTGGGTGTTGTAGCTTGGATATTGTTCTCAGTGTTGAAGACTCTGGTTTAGAAATATAGCTATGGCATTCCTCTGCATCACTGATGTTCCCAAGGTTCTTGACCCCTAAATCAATTTTATTGTGTAATTCAGTGAAAGGACTATTTTCTCTTGTACTAACTAAGCTATGTCCTCTACTAATCTTTTTTTTCTTTTTGGGTCACATCTGGTGATGCTCAGGGGTTACTCCTGGCTCTGCACTCAGGAATTACTCCTGGTGGTGTTCAGGGGACCATATGAGATGCTGGAGATCGAACCTGGGTTAGCCACGTGCAAGACAAACACCCTACCTGCTTTGCTATCGTTTCGACCTGTCCTCTACTAATCTTTATCAGAATTACAAGTGTATAGATCTTCTTCCAGTTAGAATGGTTGCATCTTTTTAAAAAAATATATTAAAAAATTATGATTTACAAAGTTATTGATAGTTGTATTTTAGATATATATATATTTTTAATTTTATTGAATCACCATGATAGTTACAAGCTTTCATTTTGGGCTTACAATCACACAATGATCAAACACCCATCCCTCCACCAGTGCACATTCCCCACCACCAATATATCTGGTATACCCCCCCTTTCCAACTCTCCCCCTGCCTCCATGGCAGACATTATATTATACCCCATAATCTCTCTCTACTTTTGGGCATGATGGTTTGCAATACAGACACTGAGAGGCTATCATGTTTGGTCCTTTATCTGCATTCTGTACACATCTCCCATCCTGACCATTTCCTCAACCATCATTTTCTTAGTGATCCCTTCTATGTTCCAGCTGCCTTCTCCCCTTTGCTCATGAGGCAGGCTTCCAGCTATAGAGCAATCTATCTGTCCCATGTATCTACTATCCTTAGGTGTCAGCCTCATGTTATGTTGTTTTATACTCCACAAATGAGTGCAGTCCTTCTATGTCTGTCCCTCTCAGAATTTCTGATTCATTTCACTTAGCATGGTACTCTTCATGTCTATACATTTATAAGCAAATTTCATGACTTCATCTCTCCTGACAGCTGCATAGTATACCATTGTGTAGATGTACCAAAGTTTCCTTAACCACTCATCTGTTCTAGGGCACTCGGGTTGTTTCCAGATTTCGGCTATTGTGAACAGTGCTGCAATGAACATATAGGTACAGATGTTATTTCTACTGTGCTTTTTTGCATCCTCAGGATATATTCCCAGTAGTGGTATTGCGGCTCATATTGAAGCTCAATTTCTAGTTTTTGAAGGACTGTCCATATTGTTTTCCAGAAAGGCTAGACTAGTGGGCATTCCCACCAACAGTGAAAGAGTGCCCCTTTTTCCCCACATCCACACCAGCACTGGTTGCTTTTGTTCTTTTGAATGTGTGCCAGTCTCTGTAGTGTGAGATTATATCTCATTGTTGTTTTGATTTGCATCTCCCTGATGGCTAGTGATATGGAGCATTTTTTCATGTGCCTTTTGGACATGTATTTCTTTTTTGAGGAAGCTTCTGTTCATTTTTTCTCCCCATTTTTTGATGGGGTTGGAGAATTTTTTCTTCTACTAGTATCTTGTATATCCTGGATATTAATCCCTTATCAGATGGGTATTGGGTAAATATTCTTTCCCATTCTGTGGGCTCTGTGTTTTGGTCACTGTTTCTTTTGAAGTGCAGAAGCTTCTTAGTTTGATGTAGTCCCATTTGTTTATGTTTGCTTCCACTTGCATGGTCAGTGCTGTTTTCATCCTTAAAGATGTTTTTTAGCTTCAGTGTCATGGAGAGTTCTGCCTACAATTTCCTCTATGTACCTTAAGGATTCAAGTCTGATATTGAGGTCTTTAATCCACTTTTTGATCTGACTTTTGTGCCTGGCATTAGACAGAGGTCAGAGTTCATTTTTTGCAGGTAGCTATCCAGTTTTTCCAGCACCACTTGTTGAAGAGGCTTTCCTTGTTCCACTTCACATTTCTTGCTCCTTTGTCAAAGATTAAGTGGTAAAATATTTGAGGATCTGTGACAGAATGTTCAACTCTGTTCCATTGGTCTGCAGGTCTGTTTCTAGCCCAGCACCATGCTGTCTTAATTACTACTGCTCTGTAGTACAGTTTGAAGTTGGGGAGGGTGATGCCACCCATCTTTTTTGTCCCAAGGATTGGTTTAGCTATTCGTGGGGGGTTATTGTTCCATATGAATTTCAGGAGTGTTTTGTCTATGTCAGGGTTATCCTGATAGGGACCACACTGAATTTGTATAGTGCTTTGGGCAGTATTGCCATTTTGATAATGTTAACCCTCCCTATCCATGAGCAGGGGATATGTCTCCATTTCCTAGTGTCCTCTTTTATTTCTTGAAGTAGTGCTTTGTAATTTTCCTTGTATAGGTCCTTCACCTCTTTGGTTAAACTGATTCCGAGGCACTTGATTTTCTGAGGTACTATTGTGAATGGGATTTTTTTTAAATATCTATTTCTTCTCTTTTGTTATTTGTATATAAGAAAGCCATGGACTTTTGGGTGTTGCTCCTTTGTAAAAGATTAAGTGGTCAAATATTTGAGGGTCTGTGACAGAATATTCAACTCTGTTCCATTGGTCTGCAGGTTTTGTAGCCTGCCACTTTACTAAACCGACCTATTGTTTCTAGGAGCTTTTCTTTTAGAATCTTTAGGGTTTTCTTAGTATAGTATCATATCATCTGCAAATAGTGATAGTTGGAGCTCTTCCTTTCCTATCTGTATTCCCTTGATACCTTTCTCTTGCCTAACTGCAATGGCCAGGACTTCCAGTACTATATTGAATAGGTGTGGCGAAAGCGGGCAACCTTGTCTTGTGCCTGATCTTAGAGGGAAGGCTTTTAGTTTTTCCCCATTGAGAATGATACTTGACGTGGACTTGTGGAGATATTTAATATTTCAATCCCAATCCTCCACCAGTGTCACTTCCCTCCAACAGTGTTCACATATTCTGCCCCACCCCCAACCCCACCTCATCTCCACCTATCATCTTCACAGGCACATTACAAAGTCTCAGTGGTTGCATCTTAGATCTCATGCTTTCAGTTTTGTTGCCTGTATTTTGAATATATCGCTATACTACTAATTCATATCAAAGCCCTGAGACCTAATCACCCACTACTTCCAGTTCTCTTCTTCCCCTCTTGATTTCCTACTCTGTCCTCCTCTCTAAGCAATGGGGTCAAGGGTGATCTACACAACCCCTTTCTACTACATTTCCTCATCCATTATTCTATATATCACAGATAAATGACATCACCCTGTGTTTTTCTTACTACTTCTGGCTACTTCTACTTCAATCAACATATCTTCCAGTTCCAACTCTGTTGCAGCAAATTGCATGATTTCATCATTTCTTTTAGCCGCATAGTATTCCACTGTAAATAATATAAATACTGCATCTTCATGATCCATATATCTGTTGTTGGAACCCTCAGTTAATTCCATATCTTAGTTATTGCACTGAGTGCAACAATAAGTAACGGTGTGCATATGTCCTTTTGAGAGAGTTTTTATGCTCTGGGTGGGAGGTGAGGGTTAGATGGCCCAAAGTGCTATTGCTGGATCATATGGCAGTTCAATTCCAAGTTTACTTAGAACTTGTCATATTGTTGTCCACAGGGATTGTGCCTAACAACATTCCCAATAGCAATCGGTGAGTGCTTAGAATAGTCACATTCTTAATAAAAGCACCAAAAGTTGAAAATATGTCAAAAAATGCACGCCCTGGTTACACGCCCAGAAAACCTGGCAAAATAAGCCATGCTAGGACTCGTCATAACCAGTAACCAACTAAGTATCTCAAACAATTAGCACCAGTTTACCACTGAAAGAGGCCTGATGACCTCTCAGTA